TTGGCTTATTTTTCCCTTTAGAAATTTAACAACCCCAGTCTTCCTATTATTTTCTATAATGAGAACCAAGGAGGAGAAGAAGAGGAAGGAGGGAGAGACAGAAAGAGGGAAGGAAGAGAGGGAGAGAGAGGGAGAAGGAGGGAGAGAGAAGGCGAGGGAGAAATACAAGCAGAGCGCTGGTGAGTACAATGTCCTCTGGTGCCTCTCCTCTTCCACTTCCTGTAAGGACACCAGATCTGCTATGTCAGAGCTCCACTCTTATGACCTCATTTAACCTTAGTTGACCCCTCCCCCAAGGGTCCTAACTCCAAATATAGTCAGACTGATTGCTAGCACTTCAATGTATCAGCTTGGAGAAGATAAGTTGGGAAAGTCCACAATGCCTGGACACACAGTGTAGTCCTTAGCAACATTCATTTATAAAATTTAGGGACTTTCTTATACAGACTTCTGTAGCTCCTTCTCTAAACAGCTTCTTTTTTCTTGGCAACACATTCCACACTTATGATCAGCTCAGCCTCGCCAAGCTCCAGGGTTTTCTTGCAATGGATCTCACTGACAAAATTGCTGGAGAAATTATATTTGGTTTATGTTTTGAAATAGGCACTGTGTGTTCTGTAAGGTGAAAATACAAACAGAACATTTAAAAAAGACGTTCTGAATGGCTAAGAATGAGAGTCCCAGGTCTTCTAAGTGTGATTGAGTCTTCAGTTCTGTCAAACCCAATTGATTACATGTTGAGAGTCACCTCAGCAGGGGAACTAAGAAGTAGGGAATTCATGTGCCATCATTATCCACAAAGGAAAGAAGATTACGTAGAATCCTGAAGTATATTCCCCTCTGTTTATAGCAACCTGAATCACTCAGTTAGGAAAGTTACAGGATTTTCTCTAGCCTATCCAGCCATAAATGGGGCCAGGAGTGTCGCCCTCCGTGGATAGTTCATCAGTCATTTTCCCATCCCGTCACTGTCACAACCACTCTAAACCATTTTTGTCTTCCTTTTGATTAAGGACTAGGTCAAAGTTTGATATCTAGGAAAATATAAGATGCATGCTAAATTTATAAATTCTATGAATTAGGCTGCAGTTGTTTTGTTTTTATGTATTTGGTACAGGGTCTCACACAGCTCAGACTTGTAGTGATCCTCCCGGTTCAGTCTCCCTAGCACTAGGATTCCAGGTGTGCACCACCACGCCTAGTGTTGGTGGCAGGCTCAGGTACCTGGGGGCAAGATTGCGCAGCTTGTGGTACCCGGGTGGAATCCCAATCCCTGCATTTGCCTAAGCATGCGTTTAGTCTGCTGAGCTATCTCACAGGCCCTGGCTGCAGTTGTTTTATAAAAATGATTAGCCTTTGGAATCAAGCAAATGGGGCTCAATCCTAACTATTTAATGAATGACTTTGAAAAATTCTAAATTTTATTCAGTAAAATTGAGCAAAAATATCCTTAAATGAGTATTCAGATGAGTTGATTCCTGTAAATCACTTAGCATAATGCCTGGTACACAGTAAGAACTCCAAGTTGGTAGCTATTATGATTCTTACTATAGTCATTGATATCTCTTACTTTTGTAAGGGAAAATAAGTAATTGTTAAAAGATAAACCCACTTATCTTCTAGAAGCCATATTAATCAGTATATGAAGTTATAATTATAATCTATGTAACCTATCCATTTTAAATACTTTTTCTGTAACAAAATTAAAACAAATTTTAATAATTATAAAAGTTTAGTGAGTTTATATTTTAGATTTAAGGCAGTACAAATCTCCTAGCAAATTATTCCTAATTATAAGATGTTCTGTATTACTGAGTTGGGTGATTTTTAAAAGTCCCAAAATGAAAATCCAGTATAATTATATTGAACATATTCAATATTTTGAATAAATTTTATATAAATTAAACAGTACATTATAGCTTTCTGAAGGAATATTAGGTATACATTTTAAACTTAAACTTTGAATTTTGTTTATGGTACTGAGAATTAAAACCAGCAACACACCCACACTGTGTCACATCCTAGACTGTTTGTCTGTCAGTTTGTATGTTTATTTATTGATAGGATCTTGCTAAGTCTCTGAGTCATCCAAGCTTGGCTCAAACTTGGGCTCTTGTTGCTTCGGCACCTCTGAGTTTTGGAATTACATGTGTACACCACCATGCCCACCTGTCTCTGAAAATTTTAATCACACTGAAAAGGGTTTTGCTGGAAATGAAAAAGTAGCCTATAAACTAGAATATTCATTGATATATTGAGAAAGTAAGAACAGCTAGACAAGAAGGTCAAGTAAAATATGAGAAGTGCTAATGATAATTAATTTATGGCAGTGGAAGTAAACATTTTTTGTTTATTTTTTTCACTCTTTTAAATGTGCATATCATCTCTTATAGCAATGAGAAAATGATTAAGTTAACATGACACTCAAAAGTCGGCAAGCTGAACTGTCAAAAGGCAATGCAGACAATTTATTAGAAGATTCTGGTTCTTGTAGACACTTGAGAAGTGTGCTTAGAGAGAATGATGACCTAGAAACAAGTGTTACTTGAATTGGGGCACAAAAGGCTAAAGCTCTTCAAGCTATTTGTCAAAGTTTGTGATCTGTAGATTGGACACGTATTAAGAACTTTGTAAGGGTCTTCACTCCCATAAAACCATAGAAAAACATGTACTTAACACCCCAATACAATAATTTAACAACAACAACAAAGTGAGCAAGAAAGGGAAAAGAAAAACTTTCCACAAAATTGTAGATATGCTTAATTTACAAAGGAATTACTTCTTACTAGTGGGTTTTTATCTTGTTCAGTGAGTCTATGTAAAATCAAATCCCCAAGGACTTTCATAGTAGAAAGCCTACCTGTTCCAATGTAGTCAATGTCCCTCTAGTTGAGCATTAAATTAACCAACTTGCATTTGTAATAGTCTGAAGGAGAGAATTCCTCAGCCTGGGAACCAGAGAGCTCTTACTGTGGTGCCCCATGCACAGACAGACCATATGTCTTCTCAAAAGTAAGGCATTTCTTTAAATACCCATTGAAGAAATCACTATTGACTATCACAGCCAACTTTGCGAAGCTTTCAACACCACAGCAGAGGGAGACCACAGATACACAATGCAAGCACCTTGGTTCATAAGCATTTAGTATATTATTATCCTTCCACAAAATGGTTTTAATTAAAAGTGTTTATCATTTGTAAGTTTTAAGGTCTAGTGTTTCTCATTTCAAAGAATAACCCTTCCAAATTAGTATATAAAACTTCAGAGGATTTAGCTGATTTAATGAAACTTAATCCTTTATTTCAAAGTTTAGGAAAAGATCCTCTGGAAAAAAAAAATCTTATTAGGAACACGGATGAATAAAGACCTGACATATTGTGACACTGATGATCATGACATGTTATTATATATGATTCAATCAGTCAAAATTCAAATCTTTAAGAGTAATGTTTGCTATTTTGGGTAAAATCTGTCTTTCATTAGAGTACAATCAGCGCTGATATTTCATAAAGCTTAAATACAAATAAAAATGCTTAAACATATTTGTTAATTTGAAAACTTAAACTATAATACTTAAAGGTATATTTGAGACAACACAGAAGTTTTAATAGTCAAGAATTTTATGTAGTAAATTTGTTTATTCAGTAAAAAATAATAAAATAAGAATATTACATTCTCAGAAGTGGGGTACAGAACATAACATTATTGTAAGAAATATACTACTTTTTTTTGCGGTACCACGGATTGAACTTAGGACCTTATGCTTGCCAGTCAGGCACTTAAGCTGCTGAGCTATCTTCCCAGCTAAAACATAACATATTATTTTAAAAGAGAAAAGCAATAGTACCATAATTAAGAACTTGATGGAAGCTTTTAATTTACAATGTTACTCTCTTATTACTAATAGGGCTAATGTTTTATCAGTGAAAAATAGTGATTATACCTGAGTATTATATAAACTTACCACATGTGATGGATTCTATTATATATTACTTAATATTAATTACTTATGCAAGTTTCCCACTCATTTAATATTTTTAAAAATGCTATAAGACATATAAAAAGCAAATAATTACATATAATTAAGGATGAAATTTTCTGGTACTCTGTTATTCAAGTACGTATTGAGCTATGAAATTAAGAACACTGAGTGCTTAATATGTAAAACTAGTTTAAAGTCATGACTCTTGATTAAATATAATCTCCAATACTCTCAGGAGGCTTCTCAGCTTCAAAAACAGTACTTTAAAAGACTAGCTTGAGGGTGAATCACTAATACATTCTGAAACATATCCAAAACAAAGAGCTTGATTTTAAAGACTGAATTTAGAATAAGAACCCACTATTTTTATAATTATACTAATAAATTTGTTCTTTGTTCAAATTCTCAAACATAAATGATACTAACAATATGCATGCATGAGACCTAATAAAAATGATACTTCGGGGAAATTATTTAAGCTAGAGAAAAAATGTTATTGTTGGATTCTTGCCTAGGGTATAAATTGTGACCATGTATTAATAAAGTGGGTTTTTTTTATTTTCTAGCTTTTAGAGATATTTTGGAACCTTTTATCTTTTCCACATAGATACTTTAGACAAGCTCTAAAATTTGAAAGGACAATTGACAAAATAAAATTCTCTCTTGAATGGTAAAATACATTAGTTCTACTATTGTATAAATAGAACTAATCTGATTCATTTGTCAGACAAGTGCTAGCTTCTGAACCATCCAGTGCAAATTAAATTTAACTCTGTGGCAAACAATTCATTTTCTCATTAGGTAATCAATGTTACCTTCAATAAGGCAATTCCCACTTAGCCTCTGGTCAGAGAAGTCATTTTCAAAACACAGTTCTAATCCTGTAGATCATGTAAAAGGAAATGATTTCCTTAGCAGGCGATTTAAGGAATCTGCAATAGAGATGCCTGTTAAGGAGAATATGCGGTCTTAAGAAGTCTCATCTAAATAATAGCGCTCTTTCTTCCCATATGAAACTGATCCAAGAAACTGAAAGTTAAATGCAAACATTAATCTATGAAGTTCACAATAAAAAATTCTGTAATATCTCTCAGAGTCTTCCTAGTATTGCTGTTTTCTTTTAAAGGAAGTGGACAAAAATATATATAATGTATTAAAATCTTTAGAGAGTTGCTGCTGACCAATAAATACACCAATGGATAAATTTGGTTATGTAAACTATACTAGAAAATCCATAAAAATATAAAGCTTTTATCAGCAGCGAATAATCAGCAAAATATAATGTAATGCAAAAGAAAAAGAATGTCACTTAGTATGTGCTAGTTAATAAAAGCAGTTTTAGTAAGAAAATCCATCAGTGCTATAAAAAAAGCTTCCTGCTTTAAGCATCCTTACCCACAAGTACATTTAAAACATAATTAATAAATGCATGTTTAATTTTAAGCAAAATTCATTGCATCCTCTTCACTGGGAGTACTGCTCTCAGTCATCTTTTTTGTCTGAGGTACTTTCTTCATGATTTTCAGGGCTGACTTTGTTACTTGCAATAGAAGGAGTTGTCTGAACTTCATTTGGCATGGAAAACACATGGCACGTCTGGAGGTCTAAATATGTTGTAAATATTTTAGCATATTCTGGGTGCCTCAGGGCAAAATCTTTGAATTCCTCTAGAAGATGAGAAAAAAATTCAGTAAGTTAGGGTGAGTTTTTTTGGCACAGTATAGAGCAACAAATATCATTAATCATATCACAAAATTCTGTTACCCAGCTCACCAACACTGCTGGTGAGTATGCACAGTGTACACCATTCTGGAGTTTTTCCACTCATTAGTCAAGTTGAAGACAGGCATAATGTATGACTCACCTATTCTATTCTGAGGTACAAAGCCTAGAGGAACTGTGCATAGGGATATGTATGAGAATGTTCATAGTAGTATTATTAATATTAGGTTAAAACTAAAATAGAATTTTAAAATGGTATATTTCTGGGCTAGGAATGTAGCTCAGTGGTATAACACTTGTCCTGCATGTGAAATGATCTAAGTTCAAAACCAAGTACTGAAAGAGTGTATACTTCTATGATGGAGTGGTAAAGCAACACAGAGGTTCCTTTCCAAGGCACAGTGCTATTCCCTCCTGTAAGGGTGAGGAAGGGGTTGTGGTTAGGAAGGAACATGCAGGGAATTCTGGGAAAGATCTATTTCCTGAATAGAGATGGTCCACATAGGTGTTCATTTTATAAGATTTTGTTCTTCTCCATATTTATATTTTATCTCATTTTTCTGTATTTATGTTATATTTAGCATTAAAATAGTTTTTAAAATTCTGCTACAAGAGACTTTTTATTACTGCCTTTCATAACTATTAACTAGCATAGAAAGATGAGGCCTTGAAAAGCTGAGCATGGGATTGCACTCAAGAGTAGTGGCTAATAAAATATATATAACAATCATAACACAAGATTTCCCAGTAACGACTCTTTTATCTCAAGTATTTAAGATTTAGGAGCTGACAGAAGTATAGAAGGCTAAGTTAACTAAAAGATCTCAGATCTCAAACCTCCAATAAGCAGGAGTTTCTAAAACATGATACTGTCTTCAATTTTTAAATTTCTCTATCCTCTCCTTCATGAATCTATTTCGATGATGAAAGGAGGACTTAGGTGACTTCTAAGATAAGTGAGCATGAGAGTTGATTTACTGAAACCAAGAACTTTTAATTTCAAAACATGTGCTCTGTCCAAAAGACCAAAATCATCTGGTGGGATATCAAGAACTCATTTCTAAAAGTGCACCAAGTTGGCTATAAGGGGAACAGGGTATTACTTAAACTAATGGAAAAACGAGAGCAAGAACAATTTAAAGGATCACTTTCATGACACATCAGTACCTCTTTTAAGTAAATTTATACTTATATACCTCAAACACCCTTAAAAAGTTGGGCTTACACAATATTGGGGAAGGGGATATGTGCTTGCATATTCGATAAAGACACAGATTGAGCTCCATAAAAAGACTTTCTTAAAAATTACTTAAGTTGGTAGGTTCAAATAGTATTTAGTACCTTTGCTAGAAATAGTTGTTCCACAAAGTTGTGAAAATTTAGTACTTCAAAGTAACCAAAAGTATTACTTATGAAAGGAAAGTGGGCAGAGAAGAATTAGTACACATGGGTTTATGAACTTTGATCTTGGTGCACGAAGTATTGCTTTTTTATCCTTTGTTTAGTTAACTTTTTTTTTATGAACTCATAGAGTAAGGATCTTAGGCACTTAATTACCCAAAGAAGAATACAGGGCAGTCTAAGTGGCAGTAATTAAACACACAGTAAGAGAAGTATGTGATTTTCTTTTCCTACCAGTTGAAGCTAACAAGCTGAAATTCTTTGAATATCATTAGGGAAAAGTAATTAAGGAATGAAGGAGCCTTCTCCAGCCTGAGAGGAAAGATTGGGGAAGATAAGGCAGCCTGATTTTGGTGATTATATCAAAGTTAAGGCAGTAAACGATCACCTAGGCCTCCCCACTGTGTGCTTCTGGATGACAACACTGTGAAGAACAGGGAAACTGATTTATCCTCATATGGCAACATTCGACTGATGTGTGGGACTGAGCCATTAGGAGGGAAGACATTCAGTGATACAGGGACCTGCTATGTACCAAGAGTCTGTAAAGAAACTGCTACAGTAAACATGCATACACACACACACACACACACACACACACACACACACACACGAGAGTTAGGATAGATATACAGCTATTTTCTCTTAGTTCACTGAGAATAAAAGTTTGTACTCCTGCCACAATACTGTATATGGTTAGATTTCTAAACTTATGTGTAAATATACATAATTGTTTATTCCTATTTTTAAATATATTTTAATTTTTAAATTTTTTTCATCATATTCTGTAGGGACTTAAAGTACAACATATCAATAATTGATGAAAAATACCTGTTCCATTTTATGTCTAAGATGTTTGATATTCAGACAAATAGTGAGGTTAAGCTCAACAGCCTAGGTTGTACAGTAATAACAAGAAGCTTATCTTCTGGAGGATTAACAACCTAAGTTTGCAGACCAAAATTAGAGAAAAAGGAGAGCCGCAAGGAAAGCCAACATTTTGGCCCTAGCCTTCTAAGGTCAATTAAGACTCAGGACATATGAGAACTTGTACTATAACATCATGTAACTCAGTAGTGTCCCAAATTTTCTGATCAAGGAGATTAAGGGGCCACAGAGGAAAGTGATCAATGATGTAGAGTGTGCTTAAGGAGAGTTACATGGAGACAAAACTTTTTCTCAGGCTTCCACAGAGAGCAAATTGGTTAAGCAATGGCCATGACTCATCCACATGGCAGACACTGACAAAGAATCTACAAACTGTGATACAGGATAAATCCTGAGGGGATTTGACTGACCATGTCAGATACAAAAACTACAATTCTTGTTACATAGGTCTTGCTTTATCTTAGTCTTACCCATCCAGCAGAGAAGTATAAAAACAAAGTATAAGAAGTAAAGCCATGTTGTTATGATGAGCTGTAGGGGACTCAGGTCAACAACTTCTGACATTGCCAGTCATGAGGATGACCCAATACTATTATGGACTACTGGACTATTTTGGAATATTTTGCTGAGTTCACACACCTATAATATTTAAATGATGGAACTAAACAAAAAAAGGGGATATAGATGAATAACCATTTTGTATTTGTGCATTCAAAATGGTTAGAATAGATATATAGCTACATTCTCTTAATTCAATGAATAGAGAGATTTGTTCTAATAGTATTTGTAAATAGGATATCATGTCTGCATCTTGTACAACAAATAACCACTAGGAAGACAGTATGCAATGTGTTAATTATTGAAACTGTCCTATTAATTTGATTTGAAACTGTCTCATTGCTATTTTTTTCTCAATAAAATTATGGAAAAAAAAGATATCATGCCTGCATCTTGTCCTCTAAAAAACTACTACAAAGACAACAATATATAATGTATTAATTATTGTAACCATCCTACTAATCTGTTTTGAAACTGTTTCATTGCTATTTTATCTTTTTTTCTCATTAGAGAAATATTTTTTAAAAATTCATAAATAGTTTCGCTACTGCTATTGTTGCCACCTAGATCCACAATCCTCTAATGTAGTCACAAGCCAGTGTGCTGAACTTGATGAGCATCACCTGGCCACACCGACAGCAGCTATAAGAGGCACATAGGTATACAGTCATCGGTGTAGGCTATGAAGCCAGTTGTTTTGGGTTTTTAAGCCTGCTTCTTCTTTTTTTTTTTTTTGAGGAACCAGGGCTTGAACTCAGACCCTTGTGCTTGCCAGGGAAGTGCTTATTCCACTGAGCCATCTCCCCAGTCCTGAAGCCTGCTTCTTAAATTTTTAGCTAGACAACCTAAAAAAAAAATACTTAAATCTATGTACTAGGTCAAAGAAAAGTAAGAATATTGATTAAATAAATATGTTTGTTGTAAATATTAAATGAGTTAATGTGTAAAAAATATTTAAGTGTGCCTAAGCCTAAGCATGTAAGTCCTGAATAATTAGCTACTACACTAGGGAAGCAGCAGAGCAGTGATCTGTGGGCTGGACACGAGCAGGAGGGAAACTTTCCTGGCATCATTTAAGAACTTTAGCAGACTCTGGGCAGCCTGTGGGACTCTGGTAATCTCTGACCTTCCTTAGCCCCCATCACACAGGCATGGAGCTTCTGCTGGTAACGGTCCAACTTTTCAACAATTTAGCAGGACTCTGAGTGGCTGCAGAACACAGGAAAGCTGCAATCTGTGGGTCCAGTGCAAGCAGATGTGGAGCTTTTCTGGAGCCATTTACAAACTCTGGCAGACTGTGGGTGCCCTGAGGGACTCTGTCTAGATGATTACTGGAAGCGTCAAAAATGCCAAAACACAGGAGCAAAAGGCAATCTCAATCTTCTAGCCCACCCAGAATAAATCCAGGAGACAAAGACATATAAGAACTTGGAAATCACACACCTGAAATCTCTGAAATGATAGCAACTAAAGTAAAGAAATCCATCAGGCTATAGAAGAAATAAGAGCAGGGATAATCTCTCAGGCCTAAAAAGAAATGACAATTGTGAAAGAGTTGCTCAGCACAGCTAAAGAAGACATATATGAAGAAAAAAATAGAGAAAAATAGAAAAATGATGGAAACACTGAATGAACAATGCAGGAAGAAATTAGAATGCATGAAACAGATTCTAGCAGCTATCGAGGAAGTTAAGAACTCCATTGAAAGTTGGAAAAACCATTTGAGTGAAACTGAAGATAGACTTTCAGACCTTGTAGACGGTGGTGCAGCTAATGAATGTGACAGGAAAGAGCTCCTAAAACTAACAAGAAACCAGAAAATAATTCAGCAGCTACAAGACCAAGCAAAGAAAAATAATTTAAGAATAATAAGTGTCAATAAAGCAGTGGGAGACAGCACAAATGACATAAAAAGACTATTTGCAGAAGTACCAGCAGAAAACTTTCCAAGCATGAGGAAAAAAAAAAAAAAAAGCAAACATGACTGAGGCATATAGAACTCCAAATAGCCCTAATTACAATAAATCTAAACCTGAACACATAATAATCAAGATCTCAGCAATTCAGCAAAAGAATAGACTATTAAAAGCTGCTAGAGAGAATAAACATTACCTAGAATGGAAAGATCATCAGAATCACAGCAATTTCTCAACACAAGCCATTGAATGAAGAAAAGCTTCAAGTGAAGTGTTTCAGATGCTGAAAAATAATTTGCAACCTAGATTGATGTAACCTATAAAGCCATTTATCAAATTCAATGGTGAAATAAGATCCTTCTATGACAAAGAACAACTGAAGAAATTCATGACCTTCAACTAATCCTACAAAGAATACTGACAGGTAGAAAGAGATAGAAGTGATAACTTCAAGAACAACAGAAAGGAACCACCAAACAGAACAAGTAACTAAAAAGAGGGAAAAAGTATAGAATCTATAGCAAGAAAATAACATGACAAAGATAGGCCAATGCATATCACTTATAACCATCAATGTAAATAGCCTCAATTCACCAATCAAAAGAAACAGACTAGCAGAGTAGATCAAGAAACAAAATATAACAATATGCTGCATACACAAAACACATTTAATTCAAAAGGAAATTCACAGACTAAAAGTCAAAGGATGCAAAATAATCCTCCATCCCACAGAAAATCAGAAAAAAAAACCTATTGTGGTTGCTGACAATACCAACTTCAAAAAAAAAAAAAAATCATTCAAAGAGATAAAGAAGGTCACTACATACTTGTTAAGGGAAAACTTCAAGAGAAAGAGATAACAATTATAAATATATATATGCACCCAATATAGGAGCATCCACCTACTTTGACATAAGACAAATTTTAACAGACATAAAAAATCAAATGAGCAATAATATAATAATAATGGGGGACTTTAACATACCACTGTCACAAAGAGATGCACCAACTAGGCAAAAAATCAGCAAAGAAATAACAGAACTAAGCCAAACTTGTAAAGAAATTGACTTGGTCAATTTTACAGAGTGTTTCACCCAGCAACAACAGCATACACATTCTTCTCAGCTGCACACAGGACATTCCCCAAAATAGAACATGTGTTAGCACATAGAGCATTGTTGAGTAAATGCAAAGGAATTGAAATTACCCTTGACATACTATATGACCACAGTGCAATAAATTACACAAAAATTAAATAACAACCTCCTAAACAACCAGTGGGTCACAGATGAAGTTAGAGAAGGAATTTAAAAATGTTTCTCATCAGGGGCCAGGGAGATGGCTCAGTGGAATAAGCGTTTCCCTGGCAAGCGCAAAGGCCTGAGTTCAATCCCTGGTTCTATAAATAAATAAATAAATAATAAAAATGTTTCTCATCAAATGAAAATGCAAGTACAACCTACAGAAACCTGTGGGATGCAATGAAAGCTGACCTAAGAGGAAAATTTATAGCAGTAGGTTTGCACAATAAGAAAACAAAACAAGCCCAAATAAATGATCTTATGCTGCTCTTCAAACTCCTAGAAAAAGAAGAGCAAGTCAAGCCCAAAGCCCAAAGAAGCCAAGAAATTACAAAGATTAGAGCAGAAATTAACGATTGGAGATGAAGAATACAATATAAAGAATAAATAAATCATACAATTGGTTCTTTGAAATAATAAACTTGATAAACCCTAGCCAACCTAATCCAAAACAAAATAAAAAAATTCAAATTCATGGAATAAAGAATGAAAAGGGTGAAATCTCTACAGATCCAGAAGAAATTCAGAAGATCAATACCTACTTCTAAAATTTTTATTCTCATAGGATGGAAAACAAAGAGGAAATAGACAGTCTGCTAGATACATATGAAATGACAAAGCTGAGTCAAGAAGAAATACAAACGCTGAATAAACCAATAATGATAAACAAAATTGAAAATGTAATAAAATCTTACCAACAAAGAAAAGCATAGGTCTTAATGGATTCACAGAAGAATTCTGTAAGATATTTTGAGTAGATTTAATGCCAATTTTTCTCAAACTCTTCAATGAAATCAAAAGGGAAACAATTCTCCCAAACTCATTCCTGGAGGCAAGTATTACTCTGATTCCAAAACCAGAGAAAGATCCAACTAAAAAAGACAACTACAGGCCAATCTCCCTAATGAATATAGATGCGGAAATTCTCAATAAAATATTAGCAAACAGAATGCACCAACTCACCAAGAAGATTATACATCATGACCAAGTAGGATTCATTCCAGCAATATAGGGATCATTCAACATAGGAAAATTCATAAATGAAATACACCACATCAGTAGAACCAAAAACCAAAACCACATCATGACTTTCTCAATAGATGCAGAAAAAGCTTTTGACAAAGTCCAACACTTACTCATGATAAAAACCCTACAGAGAATAAGAATAGATGGTCTATATCTCAACCTGATAAAAGCCACCTATGAAAAGCCAATAGCCAACATCATACTAAATGAACAAAAACTAAAAGCCTTCACTCTAAAATCAGGATCAAGACAAGGTTTTCCACTGTCTCCAGTCCTATTCAATATAGTTCTGGAAACATTAGCCAGAGCAATTAGATAAGAGAGAGTAATAAATGTAATAAGGATTGGAAAAGAAGTGAAATTATCATTATTTGCAGATGACATGATATTCTACATAAAGGACCCCAAAAACTCCACCAAGAGTCTTGCAGATTTAATCACAAAATTCAGCAATGTAGCAGGACGCAAAGTCAACACCCAAAAATCAGTAGCATTTTCTGCACAATAATGAATGCAATGAGTGAGAAATTAGGGAAGCCACACCAGTCACAATAATATCCAAAAAAAAATGAAACAGACAGGAATCAACCTCACAAAGATCATAAAAGTTTATACAGTGAAAACTATAATACTCAGAAAAAAGATTGAAGAAGATTTGAAAAAATGGAAAGCTATTCTATGGTCCTGGATAGAAAGAACCAACACTGTGAAAATGGCCATACTCCCAAAATTGTTATACAGATTCAATGCAATCCCAATTAAAATACCATTAATATACCTCACAGAGCTAGAGAAAACTTTCCTTAATTTCATTTGGAGCCAGAAAAGACCCAGAATATCAAAAACAAAAGGAAAGTTGGGAGGTATCATAATCCCTGACCTAAAATTTTACTGTAAAACTACAGTGATAAAACCAGCATGGTATTGGAATAGAGATAGATCTGAGGATCAGAGGAAGAAAAACAAATCGCAAGTAAATATATGAAAAAATGTTCAACATCATTGGGCATTCAAGAAATGCAAATTAAAACAACACTGAGATTCCATCTCACCTCAGAAAGAATGCCTAACATCAAGAAATCAGACAATAACAAATGCAAGAGGGGCTGTGGAGAAAAAGGAGCCCTTCTCCACTGCTGGTGGGAGTGCAGACTGGTACAATCAATATGGAAATCAGTGTGGAGATTCCCTAAAAAGCTAGGATTGGAGATCCCATTCAAGCCAGCTATTCCCCTCTTGGTACCTTTTCAGAAGAACTGAAAACCTCATAACACAGTGATATATATGCACCCATGATTATAGCAGTGCAATTTGTCACAGCTAAATCCTGGAAACAACCCAGATGCCAATCAACCGAGAAATGGATAGAGAAGACTATCACACATTGGAGTATTATTCAGCTATAAAACAGAATAAATTTGAATCTTTTGTTGGCAAATGGATGCAAATAGAGAACATACTCTTAAATGAAATAAATCAGACCTGCACATGCAAACATCACATAAGTGTAAGAACCTGAAAGAGAAAAATGGAATCTGAAGAGTACAACAGATGCCGAGAAAAGGGAATGAGCTTATTCAAAAGGAAAGAGTTAGCTACTTGAGGAGGACAGAAGAAGGAATGTGGGAAAAAAATATGTCTGTGTATGTAAGCAGGTTGTTTTGGACAATTGTACTGTGGATTTCTGCTGGTCTATGGAAAGGAGTAGATAACACCTAATTTGTTTTGTCTCTGTTTTTCAATTGTGTGTACTTTTCTCTTCCTAATTTCTAGATACTTCTTTTTTCTTTCTTTTTCCAATTTTACATGCATATATCCGGTAATATGAATAAATGCTTAGAAGAAAACACTATGTATGTATTACAACAAATACTGTGAAATTCATATGACTTTGTTAAGTGAAATTCTTTATCACTTGTAATTTTTTTCTGTTTTAATACTATTTTGTACTCCCTTTAAAAATTTAGCTACTACTATTACTAACACTCCACTCCCATCTTTAGCAGCAGCAGCATTGTTACTATTATTTCTATTATTAATATAATTCACCAAGGGAAATACTCTTGCTTGAACTTTAATCTATAGTCTGTATGCCCCGAGGGCAATTTGTCACTCACCATAGGAAATACAGTCTCCTTGAGCAATTTCCTTGAAGAGACCAGAAACATCAAGGTCAGGCACTCCAAGAGAAGCCTGCAGAATGGTGGAAAACTCTTCCTCTGTTATGCAGCCATCCTTGTCAACATCAAAGAGCTGAAGTAGAAACAAAGACTAGTGTTATAGAACAGTCTTAGAAATGAACCCATTAATCCTTAAAATATTCATTGTGCCATGGGTTAAGAGATGTGTATGAGGGAAGTAAGGTCTCTGTTGCTCTTACAACAATTAATAGTTTACTGGTAGAAAGTGAATTAAACTAGCAGGGATTGCGGTACTAAGTTCAAAAGGAAATGCTCTATGGGAAACATGAAGACTCCAACTGAAGAGATCCTAAAAGGCTTACCAGAGGAACTATTATCACATTTGGGTCTGTTAGGATTTGTGACCAGAAGATATAAGGAATGTCAGGTGACTGCCTGGGACTCAAATCCAGAGACTGCGGTTAAGAATTAGACAATGGTACATATATAATTCTTCACTTAATCTTGTAGGACAATGAGGTGAGGGAAGGTAGTGTGAGTATATATGAACTCAAGGAAGCCTCTGAAGCAGAACATGGAGGACAGGTTGGGGCAGGAAGTTGATGAGAATACAGGAAAGACAGATAATTTTGGGGTGGACAAGCAGGAGGAATAGGGAAGCAAGAATTTCCAGCATGGCTAATTGGATAAACACCTGTTACATTAAACAGGGGAGGAAAACTAAAAGACCAGATGCAAAAAGAGATGAAAAGTTAGAGCTAAATAATTTAAATGAGCCAGAGGTCCTTAGAAGTAAGAGTCAGATAGCAGTTCAAACACTGAAGAGCTGGGAACTATGAATCCTGGTAAGAACTTGACTGATGGGTATGTTCAAGTTTATCTGTAGAGAACGTACAAAAAAACATGAAGTAAGAACAGCAATGGTTAAGATATATAAGGAGGAAGAACTGACAGACCTAGAAGCAGCAGTTGGGAGAGCCAGGAAAGAAAAGTATGCATTTTGGATACGTTAAGGGCAAGTTTTCATGTCAAGAGAAAGAGACTCTGATTAGTAGTAATGGTCAATGAAGCAAAATGCCACAGAAAGGCCAGGCAAGAAGCAGAAAGCTTTTCCAGATTTGGCACTTAGGAAATTTTGATGACCTTAATAAAATAATTTCAGGAAACAAGAAACCAGACAATAATGGAAAGTGAGGAAGAAACAGAAGTGAAGTGGCATGGATACTTCTTTTTAAAAATTATGGAGTGCTTTGATTACGCTTCTCTTGTTGTTCAGACAAATACCCAACAGCCAAAATGAAGGAAAGAAAGGTGTATTTAGCTCACAGTTACTGGAGGCTTCACTCCATACTCAGCTGGCTCCAAGGAAGAGCAGCACATGGCACAGAGCAGCCTTTCATGGCAGCGGCAAAGAGCAAAGAGAGCAAAGCGAGTGGCAGCAGCTCAGACAGCTAGCTAGCCTCTCTTCTTCCCTTACACTGTAATGTAAATTGCCTGTCCCAGGGAGGTGCAGCATCCATACCCAAAATAATCAATCACAACTCCAGAAGTCGCCCCATGAACTACGTGAGGATTTGCGGGACAACTATACACAAACCATAATATAGTGTTAAAGCCAGGAAATAATAAAGTAGCAGCCAAACACCAAAGGAAGTTGTTTAAGAAGGGTTACATTGACTAGGAGGGGAAGAAGCAGTACAGTGGAATAGTTTGAAAAATCAATCAGCAGAAGAGGTATAACTGATATATAACTAATATCTCATAATCAAAATATTTTCCTGTTAAGATTTTTTTTCAGAAGTTGTAATGGTATAAGCAATTATGCTTTTTAAGGTGCTGATTAACATTATTTACTTCATTTAACATGTATTAACTCTTAGCCTTCCCAGTTGTCTTATGGCAGGTAGACTACTTGGACTGGAATCTGCATTGTGAGCTGAATTGAGCATGCTTACTTTAATTACAGTGCCCAAGAGAGGTTACAGAGCAGTTCTCGTAGGAGGGATAGCAGGGAACTCTAGTGCTGTCTAATTCTGAATTTCCTTCTAAGCCTACACCCAGCCAAACCCACTCTAGTGTCCATCAGTCAGAGTCGGTCCTATCACTTGCCCAACAGTCACTCTAAAGGAAAAATAAAAGCTAATAAATTATCCATGAAAGGCTACCTAAAGAAAAGGATGAAAAAGCATTCTAGATATAAAAGGGTGTTATCATCTGAAAAATAAAGTATGTAAAATAATTATAAAACACACCTGAAAAGGAAGGTTAAAATTAAGCAATGCAGAGTATGACCCTTGCCTTATTCAAGAAGAAAAAAAAATGGATTATGGTTGTAAGTCTTCCTTTGTTTTTCCCCCATTCCAAACCAAAGTCTAGGCTAGACAAAATTCTCATGACTTCTTTAAAAACAATAATTACTGTGATTAAGGGTCAAGTTTTCTATCAGGTCTTTCATCGGTAAACCAAAAGTGACTATTTACCCAGCTAAACTTGTAATTACACATGCAATTTCAAAACAGAAACAGAAATATCTGGATTGGAATAAGTTAGCTATGTGTAATTTTAGGTTTTATGATGAAGAAGTCTATAAAAGCTAAAGGTTTTCAATTTTGGAAAATGTTCTGGCCCTTGCCTTATGACCATCTGCTAGGCATCAACCACTTAGGTATTTTAGAATCTTAGCAACAAATTTAGTTTGAACCAACACACACCAAAACAAAAGTCAAATCAAGAATTTCTATTGATAGGGCCAGCCAAATAGCTCAAAAGATTAAAGCGCCTGCAAGCAGGTGCAGAGGCCAGAGTTCGATCCCCAGACCTGGTGTGCTGACCCCATCCCTGGGGCGCAAGGAGAGGGTGATTGAGATTGGGCGTGGTGGTGCGCACCTGTAATCCCAGCACTTGGGAGGCTGTAAACAGGTGGATCACTACAAGTCTGATCTCGTAGTGAGACTCTGAATACCCTGTAGACCCTCTGCTAAAATAAAAAATAAAAAAAAAAAGTTTCTATTGCTGACAGAACACATGAAAATTCCTGAGGCTATCCCTGGTAAGACATAAGAAAGAATTCTTGGCAGAAGGATTTTTCCAGATAACAGAGAGGAAATAAACTTGTAGTCACAATGTGATCTCCATCTCAGCAAGAAAGGTAAGAGGAAGAAACTGGGAGAGTGAAGGTCCTCAGGTCGCACTTTATTTGGACACAGAGTGGTAGGACAAGTAGGGATGCCAAGATCCTGTTATATTTGAGAGATAACATTCTTAGAACTAAAAGGAGAGATCATATTTAAATACTAACAGATAAAACACTTTTATTGTCTGCATGCAACACACTTTAGAATATATTCTTTCCTCTGTAAGGGCCAAACAAAATCTGGGACCTCACAATTCAAACTTTTGTCAAACTCTGCTGGCAACTAGAGACACACATTTTACTCCTCCTCTTCCAATTTATGTCTCTATGCTGCTGTGAAGATCTATGTGATACTAAAAGAAGATACACATTATAAAAATGTGAGACATCTATGGTGGTGTTTGCCTGACAATGTCACATCAAGATAAATTCCAGCAGACAAATGATCTCTGACATGCCAGACTGTAAAGACAGGTGGTGTTTCCTTATAAGCCTTACTTGGGGGCTTCAAAATGAGAAGGCTGAAAAGAAATAATTTTTAAGTTAATTTATGAAATCATCTGCTCCTGAATTTTGATGCTGCTACCTAAGCTGCTTTCCTTTCCATTTCAATGAATGCTTGTGTTTTGTTTACTCTCGGTAGCAGTTGACTTAATAACATTATTCTCCTGTGCATGTCACAGCAGATCCTCTAATTTTCAAATGATACATTTAGAATCAACACCTGTTTACAAGGCAGACCGAGATGTTGTCAGTGGAGCTGACAGTACCTTAAATGCCACCTGGATGATCTCCTCTGTGTTGGCAGGGTTGCACAAGACAGCCAGGCCGATCACATACTCTCGGAAGTCGATACTGCCATCATTATTCTGTGAAAGGATGGGAGAAATCAATCAGGAAGCCTACGAGTGAGAATCTGTGAGCCACACTGCAAGTTGAAATTCCTGTATGCCCTGCAGCTCAACATCATAATGCACTGAATCCATCTGCACAAAAATTCTCACTGAGATGGAACAGCAGGCAACTCCTTTCTTCCATTCCCAACTGAAAAGAATAAAAAAAGTATATGCTCTATGTAGAAATAAATGTACACATTTGTAGCTGAAATCATTTAAAGTGGTCCTTCAGCTCTCAGTAGTAGTTCTTGAGCTCAACCTTACCTTGATGGGGCCTTCCGAGGAGATCTAGATAGGCTTCTATCCTTCGTCGGACCAAAGCATTTATTATATCACTTTCCTGTGTGCTTAAAAACCAGACCAAAAGAGAGCTGTGTATCTTTTTTCTTTTTTTCTTTAGTCAACTTTATTGATGTATCATTTATATTCAACAGAACGCAATGCATCCATTTTAGGTGTATTGTCTGATTGACAAATGTGACATAAAAAAACACTACCAAAATCAATATCTACATTTCATCACCAATGAGGTTTCAGAAAAAGAAGAGTTTTAAAGAAAACAATTTTTCCATCTTCGGCCAGCACCAGATAGCTGTTTTGAGAGGGTTTTTTTGTTGTTGTTTGGTTGGTTTTGAGGGGTGAGGGGTTACTGGAGATTCAACTCAGGGTATGGTGCATGCTAGGCAGGTACTCTACCACTGAGCTACAGCCCTAGCTCACAAGTTAGCTTTTTAGTTTAATGTGGAGAGCAATTTTTAGTGAGCCTTAGATGCTGAGGAACTTTTGGAATCAGATACTGTATATTGTTCAACATAAATAAATTTCTTCTGCGATTGGTTTTTCTCACTAAGCAACATAGAAGTTTTTAATATAAGTACTAAAAAATAGATCTAAAATGTTATACGTATACTACAATTGCAGTCATAAATTATTTGTATGATTGAAAATACTCCTTTGAATATTTATTATGAGACATCAAATACTACTAAACCCTATGTGTAATACAAGTCAAGCGGGGGCCAGGGAGATAGCTCAGGAGAATAAGCATTTGCCTCGCAAGCTCAAGGGACTAAGTTCAATCCCTGGTTCTTCTAAAAAAAAAAAAAAGAAAAGAAAAAAGAAAAGAAAAAGAAAGAAAATAAGAAAAAGAAAAATACAAGTCAAGCATTATAACTCATTTCTCAGACAGAAATGTAAATATAATGTATCCTTAATCTTACCAATAGTGAAAGTAAATGGAAGTTTTTGAACTAGTAAAATGAAAAGGAAAGAGTAGTATAGGATTATTGTGAGAGATTATCTTTTGGTTCAGAAAAAATACATTGTTCAAGTTCCAAATTAGGAATAATACAATTTGGAACTGGATAGATTCTTGGAAATTGGCCATTCAATTTCGTCCTTTTTACCAATGAAAAAATCTAAGTTTCAGTTATGGTTACAAACCTCACTATTGGGCTAGGAACATAGCCTGGTGGTCTAAATATCTGCCTGGCAAGCACAAGGATTGGGGTTCAAACCCCAGTACTGCATGCCGTACCGGACGTGGAACCCGGGGTGCACTGTGCAGGCCACCGAAACCCGGCACGGTGGTGCATGCCTGTAAGCCCAGCGCTGGGGAGGCTGAGACAGGAGGATCACTATGAGTCCAAGTTGTATAGTAAGATCCTACACCAAATAAATAAATGAATAAATGATTTTTAAAAGGTTATAAAGCAACATATACTCATTTAATTTTTGTATTTTAATCAGTTTCATGATAAAATAATTTAACAAGTCTGTAGTTCTTTCCTTTAAAAATTAAATGAATACCCCAGAAAAATTATGAACTTAATTTAAAAATCCAGAATTGAAACCATTTCAGAGCCATGTTTCAAAGGAAGAGACCAGTTCTCTGGAGAGAGATCCTATTCCTTCCAGATGCTGTGTCTGTCTGGAGCCCAGGAATGCCCTGAAGTTACACTGAGTCACTGCAAAAAGAAACGTGACAAAAACTCACTAAACCTCTAGACTTTAGGTCTCATCTCTTCCCTGGGAGTCAGCAGGAGGAGAGCATGAAGATGCACATGGGGTGCAGCCAGGTCCCCATTACCCAGCACGCTTCATCTGTTCACCCACAGTGTGCTAACTTCCCAGGTGGGGGGGAGTCCTAAGCCACTTGCTCAAGTTCATTCAGAACCTCAGAAAAAATAAAAGACTTGATTTGCAGGGTTCAGTGCTTTCAAGTCAGGTTATAGCTAGATTTATTCAATATTTGTACCAACCAATAAGGAATCAGAACTTGACCTTCTTAAATCCAGCAATATCTAAAGATATGGTTTTAAGTCAGTGTACAGTAAAATGGAAACGTGTTATTTATATAGTCTTTTACATAGCATGGATATGTCCATGAATGCAAATTTCAGTGTTCAAAAATGAGAATTTACTCACATTAATCTTAACAGAACTATGTTATTGGTAATTTCAGTAAATTTTTATATTTAGTTTTAGAAGAAAAACCAAAAAAGGTGTAGTCTTTAATACATGTTGAAATGGTACCTTGCCAAGAATAGGGAGTATTTTCTCATTGCTGTGTGACAATTGATATACCACTATCTCTGCAAATGAGCAATAATCACTGTCCTAAAAATAATTTTATTTTATTTTTTATTAATTTTATTGAGAAATAGCAATAAGGCAGTTTCAAAACATGTTAGTAAGACAATTACAGTAATTAATATATTGCATATTGCTGTCTTTGTAGTAGTTATTCATAGTACAAGATGCAGACATGATATCCTGTCCAAACACTATTAGTACAAATCTTTCTTCTCATTGAATTAAGAGAGAGTAGCTATATAGCTATCCTATTTTGTATATACAGATATATCAGTACAAAATGGTCTTTTATATCCCTGTTTTTTGTTTAGTTTTGTCAGAGATGGGTATTCCATTGCCATTTAAATATTTTAGTTGCATGACTTCAGCAAAATAAGCCAATATAGTCCAGTAGTCTATAATAGTAGTGGGTTATCCGTAGGACTGGCAATGTCAGAAGTTTTTGACTTGAGCCTTTCACAGCTTAGCATATTAACATGGCTTTACTTTTTATACCTTGTTTCTATACTTTTCTGCCAGATAGCTAAGACCAAGATAAAGCAAGACCTATATAACAAGAAATACACCTTTTGTATCTGCCAAGGTCAGTCAAATCCCCTCAGGATTTACCCTGAAATCCTGTACCACTGTTTGTAGATCCTTTGTCAGTGTCACCCATGTGAATGAGTCATAACCATTGCTTGACCAATTTGCTCTCTGTGAAAACCTGGGAGAATGTTTAAATGTTCTGATAACACAGAATTTCATTTTTGGCAACCTAACCCAAGAGACATCTTCAAATCTTTTAAGATGATTTATAAATCCAAATGAGTATTATTACTAAGATACAGTAAATTCTCAGCTGTAGTCAGGGAAAAGGTACATTTTTCACATGAATATTCTAGCTACAAGTATGTTTTCACTGACCTACATAAATATATTACCAGTTTGTTTGAATTAAATTGTTTTAATACATTATAATTAAAAATAAACTTTTTATGTATTTAGTACAGTGCCTAAAGGGTCTCATTACACAGATCGGACTCTAGTGATCCTCCTGTTTTCAACCTCCCAAGCATTGGGATTACAGGCATGCACCACCATGCCCAGTCTCAGTTGCTGTCTCAGCACACCCTGGGAGCCAGGCCAGCACAGCATGGGGATCAAACCTGGGTCCCTTGCACTTGTCTATGCAGGCACTTTAGTCCATGGAGCTATCTGGCCAGCCCAAACATAAACATTTTAAATGAAATAATTCTGAAAGTTTTTCATGGTCAAAAAAAGTCAAGTATCAGTGCTCTGCAGGTGTTGCCACAAATATTTTTAAGTCACCATTCTACACACTGTGCAAAACTATTTACTAAGATTTTGGAAGCTGCTATGAAAGTCAACTTTTCAATATACATACACTACTGAAAATATTTTTAACGTGATGTTTAAGGTGATACACATTTTGAATGTTTTTAGAAACTTGCTCTCAGGTACAGAGTGTAAAGTCTCATCTTTTTCCTTGCTTTTATAAGTTATGGAGTTTAATGGATTGTATTAGATGCGGTTCATTTTTAAAAACCATATTTTGAAGTTTAAAATTGCAGAAGGTACAACTTCACAAATTCTCATTACTTTTTTTTGGCTGGATCAGCCCCCATGAGGGTAGAGCTGGTGTGACTTAAGGTGCCAGGAATCGAACCATGGTCCTCGGCACTTGCCTAAGATTGCCTACACAGGCACTATAGACCACTGAGCTGTCTCACTGGCCCTCATTACTATTATTTTCAATTTAATATACTGATTGTAATTTAGTATTAGAAATTTAAAAGTAATGTGATGGATGAATCAAAGATTTTTTTTTTCCCGCAATTGAGGATTGAACTCAGGCCCCTCGAAAGTGCTTATTCTACTAAGCTATTTTCCAACCCGAATCAAAGATCTTTACCTTGGGATGTAAGTGGGTATCCTTGGAGAAATGCAGACTTTTTGAAAAAAAATGGGAAATTAATACTTACTGTAACAATTATTAGATGTAAACTAAGAAATTCAACTACTTGTTAGGCTACTGTTCTATACAATATGAAAGATTTGGTTATTTGGATAAATCTAGAGTTTGGGGTGAATTTTCTACTCTGCTTGCTAGAGAATGAGGTTAGTTATATACAATCTACTCAAATTCAGAAGAGAAACTCAGGTGACATCTGGAGTCTCTCTAGTGCATACTGGGTGAGAATCATACAAGTAGGTAATCCTTCAGCTTGAGGAACAAAAACCTTAATGCCATCCTTAAAGTGAGATGATTTTGTTAACTTTTATAAAACATTTACAATGAAATCCAGAACAAAAAGTGCAGCCACAAATTGTGCTTTCCCTAAAGAGCCTGTGAAAAAAATTAAATTATAAACTTAATATTCTGAGTCCTTAGAAGACATCTTGACAGCTTTCTCCTTTCCCGGCTGCCCTCCTACGCCCATTCCTGACATATTCCTGTATCAATTCTAAAACAAAAATACTGGTATTAATGTGTGGTTGCTGGCAGCAGCCTCCCACTTATATAACCACACCTAGTCTAAGACGCTCAGCAGACCAAGTTAAATTACAAGTCCCTTGAGGGAAGTGAATGTGATTTCTCTTCTTGGCCCCATTCAGAATTATGTATGTGTGGTGTTTCATAAATATTATATGGTAGTGACAGTGATGATGGTAAATATAGAGGCCAAATGCCAACTTCTCCCAGTTCTCATTGGGGATTTCTAACAGGCAGTTAGGGGCTCTTACCAGGCCAGTGACATCATTTCCATAGTGACAACTTTCCTCTAAAAGAGTGAAGGAAGAAAGAAGAATTTCCCTTTGTGCTCAGGAAGACCCTTCAGAGTAGTCTGGCACAGAGTGAATGCACTAAAAGAGCCCCAGAGGGGATGAAAAGCAAGTAAACAGCAGGCATATGAAGCGAGCACCAAACTGCAGCTTCTCTTGTTGAGTCTACTTGCGTGAAGATTCTGGATTCTGCTCGCTCCCCTATAACAGCCTGTGTCAAAGTTACAAAATCAGACTAAGGGCTAGACACAAGAAAGGCAAGACTAGCACAATTTCTCAGTATGTCCATCTTCCTTCTTGACAATGTCTTAGTTTAGCTGAGACACATTTTAAACATATTTTCAGACAGCCATACTTTAAAGCAGTTAAGGCCATCAGCTTTTGAAGCTTTGAGAATATTCACCTATGTGCCCTGCCTCTATAGAACATGTTTAACTTACCTAAAGTGGAAGTCAGGTATTAGTCTTCCTAAATTGTCCCAGTGATCCTAATTGCAGCCAAAGCAAGGAACCACTACAATAAGAGTCAATAATACTTGCTTTATATATTGCTTTATATTCCATTTACCTGATTACCATTTCCGTTTTTTGTTTGTTTATTTGACTGCAATTTTCAAAGGTAAGCAAAAGAATTTTCTTTGCTCTAAGGTAGGGCAAGACATGACAAGACTTGGCTGTTTAGCAACTGTTGAGCACACCTCACTCTGTATGAAATATGTGTAAGAGTGAGCATTTTGATTCATGAAGGCAGCCAAAGATATTTTTGACACATGCGTGTGCCTCTCTATTCCTCCATACCTTTCATTCTGTCTACAAATATATAAAAAAACAAAACTGGCATAAGTTTATTTTACTAGAAAACAGAAGTAGAATTCTAGAATTTTAGATGCTCCAACATTTAAAAAAAAATTACACTTACATAGTTGCTTAACTTCACATTTCTGAACATGTTTCTGTATAAATAGGTAGAAATCTATTTCTATCATAAAGTACTTTTGATTTCTTTATGAATAGAAAGAACAGATATGAAATTATGAGGAAAAAATAACTTTCCTCCACACTTCACAAAGGGAAAAATGTATCTACTAAGTGCTTTCCTGATTTACCCCAGGATTTCTTAAAAATTTTAATTACTAATAATAGTCACAACAGTGATAAATTTCCAACTCCTTAGAATCCATAGACTAAGTAAGCAGCAAGCTTTTAAAATCTACCCCACTGCTTCCTGTCATGTATGTCTATATAAATCCAAGATCTTAAAAAGTTAAGTATATAAACCACTCAGAACTGTTTTCATTAAAAATGTTTTAATTAAGCTGTGAAAGGAAGCCAACAACCAGCAATCTATAAGGTTGTGGAAGCTCTCCAGGAAAAGAGAGCTGCGGAAGGGTAACAGTAACTGTGCACAGCATGGCAAGGTTTTCCCCAGTCCTGTCCCCCAGGGGCCCTTGGGGCTCTGCTCACTTCAGGAATACATGGTCAGCTGTAGCCACTCCTTGATAGACACCTGGACCAGGCCATCTGCATCTCTATCCAGAGACTTGAAGGCACGAAACATCGCATCCAGGCGGACCAGGCAGCTGATGAAGTTGTTAAAGTCCATACCTCCATCATCCTCCGCATACCGCCGGACAATCATTTGGTAAAGCTGTTCATTCAGCTGGAAGCCCGCTGCCTGCAGAGCTTCCCGCAGCTGCGAACTTTTCAGAAACCCGGAGTGGTCACTGTCATACTGCTTAAAGACACACTGCCACTTCTTGATGTTGTTCCACAGATACTTAAATTCTTCAAAGCCCAGCTTCCCGGTGGTGTCACTGTCCATAACAGACACAATGCTCCGGCAAGTGTCAAGACTAAAGCCATCAGTCTTCAGTTCCTTGTGCTTAGAAAGGACTTTGTTGAGGATTTTCATCAAATCTGTGGCACCCACCTCCATGTCCGGTCCAGCCAGCTGCGCAAACTGTTGCCGAAACCGCCGGACTTCCTCGCTTTCAGAAGCCTCCACATTGGTGAAATGCTGGGGAACGGGAGGCGGCGCTGGAGTGTACTGAGCTGCAGCAGCCTCGCTGATGAAATTCACAATTCCTCCTACTATGCCTCCCAGGTTTCCCCCTCCTCCTCTTCTCTGACCACCTCCTCCTAGAAGGCCGCCTAGAGCTTCTCCAAGACCACGATCTGCCCCTTCCAAAAAGGCCTTTGCTAGAAACATGCTTTCCGTTTGACAAGCAAGGATAAAGGCAGCGTTAACCTTGGAGTCAGTATGCCAAGAGCTGAAATGGAGTCTAAAGTCGCTTGCATGTGGAAGAACTGGCTTTCTGTACCTGCTTGGTCAGGTACCACGCCTTGCCTCACGGTGATGACTGATGACGCTTCATCTCCCAATGAAGCTGCCAGATTCCACTAGGTCCTAGCACCTGACAATTCTAGAAGCTCCATAAAATTGATTTCCACTCTTATAAATATTCCTAAGATGTGGCACAACACAATAGAATATCTTCATTAGAAAATATAAAGCTGCACATTTCTACATGTCATTTCTTTTTTAACACCAAAAAGATGGCATGTATTTTCCTAACAGAAGATAAAATGATTAAATTAAAACACCAATTTCCTTGTAAGGAGTATTTAAGTGTAGAACTAATGAATTCTTTTCTTGGGCATTGGGAGGATATCCATAATCTACTTCTTTTAGCAAAGATTCTCAAAATCAAAGATTGATATAAGCAAACAAATATGGTGGAGTATATGCTGTGGCTTGATTTGTATAAATTTATACAAGTTAAATTGTATATTTTTATTGGGTGTTAATGCAAATACTTTAGTCTGATAGAAAAATGAAGTTAGTGGTTGTATTTTCTTATAGAAAAGGAATAATTTTTTCTCTAGAAACGTTTATTAACATGCCTTCCCAAAAAGTGATTTTTGTTTCTTTTTATTATTAAATTTAATTTTATTATTTCATTTTGAAAAGTAAAAGACAAAAGCAAGAACAAAAGTCAGAAACAATGACAAAAAAAGGTTACTACACAACAATACATAAATACACAAGCTACAGTTTTTCAGAACAAGAATAGCTGATTAGCAGTTGTTGATATATTATCTATTTTTATCATCAAACGTGTTGCTCAGATTAAGATATAGTTATGCAAGATTGGATATAAGATTGCAAATACATTGAGGACAGCAATATGTAATAAAAAATGATGCATGGAAAAAAACACAAAGTTCTCAAGTAACACTACCACAAATTCTGATTCTGGAGATCTGTGAGGTCCCATGCTCAACATTTTAAGGGCCTTTTTGTCACAGGATCCACATCACCAGGAGCTGAGAGGCCTCCCCACTTACTCTCTTCTCCCAAGGGTAACAAGCATCCTCACAGGTAAAACCATAGGCTTCTGCATCTTAAGTAAGCAAATCATACAATGTATCTTTTTTGCCCCTTTTTGATTTTAAATTTAAAATACTTCCAAATTATGATTATACCACACAATTTATCATCTTAATCCCTTTAAAGCATAAAATGCAGTGGGCTTAAATGTGTTATGCTGCCTTGCAACCACCTTTCATCTTCAGAATCTTCAGATTCTGTACCCATTAAACAATAACTTCTATTCCCCTTCCCTCCTACACCTCCTACCACCATTCATACTGTTTCTATGATTTGGATCATTCTAGATACAATATACAATTAGAATCATATAGTATTTCTCCTTTTATGACTAGTTTATTTCACTTAACATAATGACTTCAAAGTTTACCCATATTGTAGCATGTGTCAGAATTTCTTTCCCTCAAGACAGATAAATACTCCTCTGAATGCATAAATATACCACATTCTGTCTTTCCATTTATCCATTGGTGGCCACCTAGATGACTTCCCCCTGTGTGCTACTGTGGACAGTCCTACTATGAACATCAATATACACACATTTGGCTGATCCCCTGATTTCAATTTTTTGGTTATGTGTCTACAAGTGTAATGAATAGGTCATATGGTAATTCTACTTTTACCATAGAGTAACTGCCATAGTGTTTCTCACAATGACTGTATCAATTTGTAACCCACAAAGGTTCCAAGTAATAATTCCACATCCTGTCGAGCATCTGCCATTTTTCCCTTTTGTTCTTGTTTTTGTAAAAAAATCACCATCCTATGAGGGGAAACATGGAATCTAATTATAGTTTGCATTGTTCTTCTTTAACAATTAGTGATGTGGAACACCATTTCATGTGCTTAGTGGCAAACTGAATACCTTCTTTGGAGAAATAGCTATTCATATCCTTTTAAAGCCAGGTTATTAGGGCCAGGCAGATAGCTCAAGAGCCGGGGAGATAGCTCAGTAGAATAAGAGCTTGCCTGGCAAGCGCAAGATCCTGAGTTCAATTCCCCTTACTGCAAAAAATAAAAACAAAAATAAATAAAATTAAAAATAAAACCAGGTTATTTCTTTCTTTACTGTTGAGTTTTAGAAGTTCTTCAAACCTTCAGTATTAATCCCCCATCAGATACTGTACATTATTTTTAAGTATTTTCTTTTCTTAGTGTGTTACCTTAATACAATGCTATCACTATTCTCGGCAGCACAAAAGTCCTAAATTTTGATGTAGTCAAATTTATTTATTTTCTGTATAACTTGTGCTTTTAATATCACATCCAAAAAATTATTGACAAGTTGTGTCATGAAGCATCTCTTGTATGTTTTCACCTAAGACATTTTGTCGTACCAGCTTTTATGTTTAGTTCTCTGATCCATTTTAAGTTTACCTTGTATATAAGGGAAAGATCTAACTTCATTCTTTTATATATGGATACCTAATTTTCATAGCACTATTTGGTCAGAAAACTGTTCTTTTTCCATTGAATAGTCCTCATATTCTTATCGAGTTTTCTTTGACCATTTAGTGGTATACATGTCTGTCTTTATGCCAGTACCTCACTGGTTTGATTAACTCTAGATTTGCTGCAAGTTTTGATCAGGAAATTTGAGACCTCCGAATTTGTTCTGTATTTTCCAGATTGTCTTGGCTTATTCAGGGTCTCTTGGATTTTACATGAATTTTAGAATTGATTTCTCTATTTCTATAAAAGGTAACTGTTAGGATTTTGATAAGGAATGCATTGAATTTGTAGATTATTTTAGCTTGTATAGACATTTTAACCTAAATCTTCTAATCCGTGAACACGGTATATCTTTCTATTCTTTTTTAAATTTCTTCTATCAATGCTTTGAGGTTTTCACCTTTAGCCTTCTTTATAAAATCTGTTCACAGGCATTTTACTCTTTTGGGTGTATTCTGATAGAACTGCTCTCTTAATTTTTTTCTAAATTGTTCTTAGTATAGAGAAATGCAGTGTTGATTTTATATCTTTCAATTTTGTGATATTCACTGATTAGTTCTAACATGGTTTTGCTTGTTTGATGGAATATTGTAGAGTTTCCATTTATTTTTCTTGCCTAATTGTCTTGGCTAGGACTTCTAACACTATGCTGAATACAAGTAAAAGCAAATATCCTACTCTGATTTCTTATCATAGAGGAGAACCATTCAATCCTTTTCCATTAAATGCAATATTAGCTGTGGGTTTTTTTATGTATGCTTACTATACTGAGGCACATATTTTTTCTTTCCTAGATTGAGTATTTTTATGCTGAAGGAACATGAATTTTGTTACGCCCTTTCTCTCTGTCAATTGAGATGATAAGATTTTTCCTTTTCCTTGTGGTAATGTATGTGGTATATCATGTTGGAATTTGATATATTAAAATATTTTCATTCTAAGAATAAATCCTATTTGATAATGGTGCATAATCTTTAAATATGAGATTGGTTTCTGTTTGGTAATATTTCACTAAAAGACTTTGTTATCAATATTCATATGACATTTTGTCTTCTAGTTTTCTTGTAGTCATCATCTGATTATACTTTCAGGAAAATACAGGCCTCACAGAAGTTACAAAGTGCTCCTTACTTTCCATTTTGGGAAAACAATTTGCAACAGACTGGTGTTAATTCTTCCTTCAGTGGATGGTAGAATTTACCAGTGAAGCCATCTGGTCCTGAGTTTATTTGCTAGGAAGTATTAGACTACTGATTAAATCTCCTTTTTAGTTGTAGATTTTTTCAGATTTTCTATTTCCCCATGTTTGAGTTTTAGGAGGTTGCATATTTCACCAGGGCTTTGTCCATTTCACCAAGGTTAGCCAATCTGATAGCACACAGCTATTCATAGTACTCATTTATCATCCTCCTCTCTATAAAATTGGTAGTATTTCTCTTCTAATCTGATTTTTTTTGTCATCCAGCGTTCTTTGGAAGATCTACTGGTGAATTCAGAGAAAGGAGGATAGCACCTGAAGTCTAAAATATCAACTTCGCATTTGGGGACACAGTTTTAAATTCTGCCAAATGATGATAATAATATCCCCCTTGACTACCTCTAAACAACTCAATCTGATACATTGCACATCAGGACTTGGACTTGGTGCTTAGGAGAAGACAGGAACTACAACAGGACTATTGTGCTCAAGGGCCAAGTAGAACCACAGGGACTGGTGTTAACTACAAGCTAATGTTGATGTTTACATTTCTAATATTAATATTATTCCCTTACATTTATATATGATAAGCTTTGGTATCCTGGTCTCATAAAATTTCCCTAAAAGACACAAAATTACTCCAGATATGAAAACATTCAGAAAAATTAAGATACATGACACTAATACAGTGTATTATAATATCAAACTGATATGGTTGTCAAAAGGAGAGCTAGGAATGCTGTTGAGGCAAAAGAAAGCCTTTAATGCAGGCTGAATGAGGCTTCTCTAAACAGAAAAGCGATATAAAAGGACAGAGTAGTAAAAACACAGAAAAGTGAAGGGACACTAGGTATGCAAGAGATGGTGCAGCATATGATGTGCTGAGAGTCTATTTCTGGGAATACTAGGAAATGAAGAAATATCAACAAATGGAATCAGATCAGGAAAAGCTTCAAACTGTCATGTAGCTTGGTCTACCAAACAAGTTACCAGAAAACTACTGATGGCTCAAATGTAAGCCAAAGGAAATCAGATGTGAAATGTTTTGGTCCCTACACAATGCTAGAATTGAGTGATAAGTATTCAAGCTATTATTCTGGGAGAGAATAGCCGCTAGGGAACATTGTTTTCTTTAGCACATGGGATCATGACCCACCTCCTTCTATCACCACCAATGGTTTGTGTAAAACTCTACAGTGGTTGGCTTTTATTTCTCATGGGCATAATGAAACG